AAGCTTCCCTGGGAGTAAAACCACTATCACAGTAACTTCCACAAAAGGGTAAACTGACGGTGCATTTTCCCTTTTGCTTATTGGGGGGGGGGGGAAGGAGTTGGGTGTGGTGGTTCGTGTTCTACCTGAAGGCTGCTTTAGAGGTTACGATGGCTTTTCCCATATAGATAACACTTCTGTTTTGCACAGGAAGGAAGGAAATAGCAAGACAAATAAGTGGGCTGTAGAACAAATGAAGCCTGAACTCTCCCTAGAAGCTAAAAATGAGTAAACCGAGGCTATTGTACTTTGGTCACATTATGAGAAGACCCAGGGCTCTTTTTGTAGAAAAAGTCCAGCAGGAACACATTAGCATAATAGACCACACCCAACAGCAGAAACTCATTAGCATATTAGGCCACACCCCCGACAACACAGCTCATTAGCATATTAGGCCGCACCCCCATGTTACCAGAAGTGTAGTCATCCAGCCACACCCACCTTTTGCTTCTTATTCTGTTTACCCTGTTTGTTGTCAAAACCCAGGGCTTTTTTGTAGCAGGAACGCCTTTGCATGTTAGGCCGCACACCCCTAATGTACCCAATCCTAATGAGTTTCTGCTGTTGGGTGTGGCCTATCATGCTAATGAGTTCCTGCCGGGTGTGGCCAACTCGGGAGCCAGCCGGAACTCCGTTCCTGTGCGTTCCTGCCCAAAAATAGCCCTGAGAAGACCAAAAGAGTTACTGGAAAAGACAAGAATGCTAGGAAAAGTTGAAGGCAGCAGAAAAAGAGGAAGACCCAACACGAGATGGATTGACTCAGGGAAGCCACGGCCCTCAGTTTGCAAGTCCTGAGCAAGGCTGTGAACGATAGGATGTTATGGAGGTCATTTATCCATAGGGTCACCTTACGTCATAAGCAACTTGATGGTACATGTAGGAGTAACTTGTGAAGAGAAGAGAAGAAGAGATTGGATTTATACCCCGCCCTTCACTACCCAAAGGTGTCTCAGAGCGGCTTACAAACTCCTTTCCCTTCCCCTCCCCACAACAGACACCCTTTGAGGTAGGTGGGGCTGGAAGAGCTCTTGACAGAAACTGCTCTTTTTCAAGAACAGCTCTTATCAGAGCTACGGCTTGCCCAAGGTCATCCAGTCAGGTGCAAGTGGAGGAGTGGGGAATCAAACCCGATTCTCCCAGATTAGAGTCCGCACACTTAGCCACTACACCAAACTGCTCTAGCTGGCAGAGTAACAGACAGCTCTGAGGTTTGAGCCAGGGGTCCCTGATCATGTTGTGCCTGTAGGTCATTTTGGAATTTTTGAGAGCGGTTAGTGAGTGCCACCACAACATGGCTGTCATGGGATGGCAGCTATTCCCTCAGAAATGGTTGCCAGGGGAGCTGGGTCCAATCACAAAATGTTGGTTATCCTGTGTTGGAGGCAGCTGTTTTGGAATGGGTGCTTTCAGAGGACCCAAACAGTCTTGGACTCTTTGGAAAAACCTTCTGCATCAATAAAATGGAAGAAAGCCCAGATAGGTTCATTGCTTTGGGGAACAGATGATTTGAGGAAGAAGGAAGTGGGCGCTAGTATACACAATGATGGGTACCATGTTGGGGATCCTTAGCTTAGGCCATAATCCTTCTCCAGGTTTGATAAGAGCCACTTGCCATGATATCTATGATGAGTTAGGCAGCACTGAGATGTCATAATGGTGCTTATGGTTTGCTCAAATCCAGCGGTTGTTTTGTAGAAAAAGAGCTAGGGAAACTCATTAGCATAACTCATTAGCATATGCCACACCCCCTGACATCACCGGAAGTGTGTCATAAGGCCACACCCCATGAATGCACTCACCGGCTTTGGGAGAGGGGATCAAAGTGTAATACAAGACTCCTCCGAGACTTGATCACACCAATCTCAACTCTCTCTTGGGTCTTGATGCCTGCCAGTCATTCCCCCTGCCTGGGGGAAGCCGCGTTGGACCAAAATACAGTCCAAACTGCTGTGAGGAACATCCGTCCACCCTGAGCACTTACAGGGTGCGTCAAATCACCATTTTACCCCGACCGGAAGCAGGAGGCGGGGCTTTGTCATGTGCCCCGCCCCCTGCACCTCACCCGGGGGAACGGCGATCCCCCGCGATCTCCCCCGAATCGACCCCTGCTCAAATCCCAGTAATCTCTGACATTGAAATGGGTTAGGTCCTGCATACTGGAAACTGGGTGCCAAACCAGGATTTCAAACTAGGGTTTACGGCTCCTTTATCAACCACAGTTTGAAATAACGGTGGTTTGTTGCGATGTCTGAATTCCCAAGCTATAGTTTATTGAGTAGCATCACACCTTGCAGAGGCCTGGCCACAGAGGCAAGAGTACAGAGAGGATGTTCTCCCCACTAGGAGAGAAAGCAAGAAGCCAGACCTACTGGGAGCAGGTTATATTCGGTAGACTTAACAGGGTTTAAACGAATAATGGTTTATTGTGGTGTGTGAATGCAGCCCAAGGATCTCCTCTAGGTGTGCAGACTTTTGAAAGTGATTTCCAGTGTGTCTTCTATTTCCTGTGTGAGCCATCACCTGCTATGAATTATTACCACAGGTACATGTGTGCAGATAGATGTCCACAGAAGTTACCAGTCCACAGACCTGTCCTAAGCATGTATTTGAAAAGAAATCCTTATCTCCTGGGTAAAGGATTTAGAGTTGTGTCTCTCTCTCTCATCGTAATATAATTCTGTTTATGTGTTGTCAGCTAGTTGTACATGGATGGATTTCTCCCCCCCCCCCCCCCCCGCCTCTTATGCAGTAAATTGGGCAAGGAATTACAATGCCTCTAGTCCACCCTAGTAATTTTGTGTCTGGAACTAGAGTGTGTTAATTATTCAGGGCTGATCAAGAATAACAGGCTGTGATCTTATATACGTGGCACTTGATCCTCTGGGGCTGAATAATTTACACAGATCCTCTTGAGCTGAATAATTTAGACACAAGCTAACTAGCAGCACTATGGAGCTCTCCACTTACACTGTAAATATTTACTGCAGATAGTTGACTCATGGAGAAAGAGGGAAACTGATTGCTAGGCAAAGCAAAATTAAAGCACCCCCAAGACAGGAGATTGATCTTGCACTACATTTAATGGTGGGGTGCCAGACATCCGATGAGAGGGTGCATGTTGGGCCCCTGATACCAGTGGGCCCTGGGCAACTGCTCCCTTTGCCCACTGGATAAAATGGCCCTGATCACATTTCCTGGATTCTCAGTTCCTAGCTTTTCTTTTTGATCAAATATTTTTATTTTTTAATAACTTTTAACAGACAACAAAACAGATAACCAAAACAAAACTAAGTACTGCTGCTCTTTTCTAAATCAGACTACCGACTGTGCAGATTTTCTGTGCTATTTCTGTAACTTTGAAATAAACTCTTTACTAAGCAAAACTGCAAATATTTCACAACCTATTTGAATAAATGACACTTGTTACGGAACATCAAGGGAAACCCAAATGAAAGAAAGGGAATACAACGAAGGTAGAAGAGAATGCTTGGGAGGGGAAGGGTCAGGAAAAAAGACGAGCTCAATGCAAGTAGGGTAAAGTGTGCCGTCCAGTTGCAGCTGACTCATGGTGACCCCGTGAAGTTCCACCTCGTAGGGTTTTCAAGGCAAGAGATGATCAGTGGTGGTTTCGCCATGGCCGTTCTCTGCTTAGCAGCCACAGTCTTCCTTGGTGGTCTCTCATCCACCATCAATCCGATTTAGCTTCTACAGCTCTGATGAGATTGAGCTAGTCTGGACTATCAGAGCCTCTACTCAAATACTGTATACCAAAGTTGAATCCACATATATATGATCTTCAGCCAGTCACACTCTCAGCCTCTCACCTACGTGACACATGAAGCTGCCTTCTACTGAATCAGACCTTTGGTCCATCAAGGTCTACGCAGACTGGCAATGGCTTTACAGAGGCTCAGGTGAAATTCTTTCACATCACCTACCATGTGATCCTTTTAGATGGAGATGCTGGGGATTGAACCTGGGACCTTCCTGCATGCCAAGCAGGTGTTCATAGCACTGAGCCACAGCCCCTCCCACTTACCTCACAAGATGATGGTTTTGAGGATAAAATAGAGAAGTGGAGAATGATGCTGTTAGTTGGTTTGATTCCCCACTGAGGTGAAAAGCAGGTTATAAATATCTCAATAAATCAGTAAATATATTTCTCTCCTACATTGGGAAACAACATAGGACCTTTCAACAGCTTGTAATTTGTACTAACAGGGTCCAATACCAAGCAATAACCAAACAGACGTAAGAGAGATCCATGGTTGTATCATCCTCCTCCACTCCTTAAAGAAGTGAGTCTTATTCAAGGTTTAGGCAAAGGAAGATTGGCAAATGCTCCGTGTCATGCGTTGGTGGCCACATTGTGAGTCCACAGCTATATATTTCAAAAATGAATATGGCAGGGGTCCACAATGTGGTACCCACGGGCACCATTGTGCCTGCCAACACCATTTCTGGAGCTCATCAAGTGTTTGTGGAAAGTGGGTGGGGTCAGATGGAGCTTTCCCCCAGTAAGGCTTCTGATTTTAAAAAATGTTGCTTTGGCAGCAGCTGCTGCCACAGCACAAGGATCTCCACTGTGCAACTGAAGGTAAGCTGCAGCAGCCATTTTTGGCTGACTCCGCCTTCCATGGCAGCCATTTTGTGGCAGTCATTTTTGGATGTGCCTGCCACACTGTGTCAGAATTCCAAAGGTGCCCACAGGTTCGTAAAGGTTGGGGACCCCTTCAACGGGGCAACTGGTATAGTAACAGGGCTGCTGAGAATGAATAGTGGGTCCATCCTTAGGGGCAGTACAGGAGATACCTTCTGGGTGCAGTCAGCCCATGTATTTAATGATATTGCAACTTTATTTTTTTCCTAATCCACTATCGCTAATGCCTTCTTATTAACCCATGATTGCTCAGCTTCCGCAGTGGTATTTCTAGTCTTAAAAGCCGCCCTTCTTTTTCCAGAAGAACCGACTCCTTCACATAAAATCATCAGCCCACCCTCTGGAGTTGCTTACCCTCATGACGATGTCTCGGACTATGGCCTCAAGCCGTACAGCCCCTTCGCTTTGTCTAGCCTATCAGCAGATCACATGGGCAGATACGGACAGCCAGATAGCCTAGGGTCGAAATGCTACTCGGACCCTGTCAAGGCTGCCGGTCCCCCTACTTTGAGCCCTAGGATTGAGATAACGCCATCTTATGAACTGATTCACTCGGGGGGGCCCTTCTGCAGCAGAGACGCAGATCTCTTGGTAGAGCATCAGTCCAACTCCGCTACCGCTAGCCCAAGGTTTACCCTGCCTGTCCCCGGCTTTGAGAGCTACCGAGAACCGCTGTGCCTGAGCCCTCCTAGCAGTGGCTCCTCTGCAAGCTTCATTTCAGAGACAAATTTCTCTCCTTACACCTCACCATGCGTTTCACCAAATAATGGCCCTAGTGATGACCTTTGTCCACAATTTCAAAACACCCATGCTCATTATTCCCCTAGAACCTCGCCAATAATGTCTCCACAAGCAACCATCGTGGAGGATACCTGCTTGGGGCCACGTTCACCATCGCCACGTCCCAACTCAAGGTCGTCGTCTCCGGGCGCAAAGCGGAGGTATTCTTGCACTGAGCTCTACGGGAGTCAGCAGCCTTCCACTTCTCCACGGCAATCGAGGACCCCTTCTCCACAGGCCTCTCCCCAGATCCCCTTGAGGGACGACGGGTCTTCGGTCACTTACACCCAGTTGACCAGCTCTTCTAGCCTCATGGATGCAATGAGCAACCTCACCACCGATCCCTCCTGTGGAGTTCCCACAAAAATATGGAAAACCAGCCCCGATCCGTCACTGATGTCTCCTCACAAAGCCAGCATGCCGTGTCATGTGCTTCAGCCCATTGAATATATTGCTCCTTGTGAGCAGGATGATCGACGAAACCCACCACCTGACTCAATCTTGTTAGTACCACCATCTTGGTCAAAGCAGTTGATGCCTGCAATACCCATCTGCAGGTAAGCTGGGTGTCTCATGTTCACTTTGGTCCATTTTTGAGCATTTGGTCCTCCATATGTATGTCGATTGTTCATATGCAGGGGTGCTTTTTGTATGGTACCCAAGGGAAGTTTACAAAGGCTCTTTGTAATGGCATTTGCATGTTGGATATTGCACTCTCAATGTGCTATTGCAATAATTCAAAACTAGATTTTCCAGTGTGGATAAGAAAATCTGGTTATGAATTATTGCTGTAATGGAATGGCTGTTCAATGTTGCATTATGTGCAGGTGCAGCCTTGTAATGTAGTTTTTGGGGTTGGGGCAGTTGTGAGTTACCGACTGGATATCATCGTACTGTTACAGGCAGGAAAAAAAAACATTCTGGCATATAACCTTTATAAAGGTCCGAAAAGTCCAGTCATTAAAGGGATGGAGGATACTGATTTTACATGACCTGGGGTCCTTTTTCTACCCTAACCTACCTTTGCTCTCTGCTTTCTCTGTAGGGCTTGTGTTTTAAGTCAAAAGCCAACAAGTATACCTGCTGTTCCAGAGTTTTATTACATAGTTTTAAGAATCTGGATCTGCTAGGTGCAGTTTTAGGATTAGGTCCCTAGTGTTTTATAGGTACACTGAGAAATGCATAGCAGTTTTGCTGCTTGCCAAATAGATTATTTTCCTCAGATTTTCTCCAGATTTGTAGAATTCCTCAGATTGTCCCCTTTCTATACCTGGCCCTGTTGTGCAGATTTTTTAATCCATGTTCTGGGGCCAAATTCAGATAGTATCTGGAGATACCAATGGTCAGACTTTACACCAAATGCATCCTTTCCCCTCATTCTACCT